CACTACAGTTCATTAAAGTGCTGGTTATTAACTAAATCTCCATATGAGGCCAGGTTATGCGTCGGACCACTTCTCACTATGCTCATCTATTGATCCTGCTAGATAAGATAGAGTGGGCACACTCCTGGCTCCATCTTTTAAACAATGACATCCTATGAGATCTAGGAAGTATTCCTTCTACATGGTAGTTCCTCCCCTGTGGAACACCCATCCCTTCTAGTTCCCTAGGAGGGAACTAGCTGGCTTTAGCAGGCCCCTAACCTCCTAGTCTTCTGAAAAGCACTTAAAACCTGGGTTTTCTACCAAGTAATCAGATAGGGTGAGACTGATGAGTTTTTGTGGTGGACTGCTTGTTAATGTTGATTATGGTGCTACACTGTGGTTTTAATAGATATATGTATATATTAATTGTGCAGTTACATTATTTTAAAACTGTTGGTTTGTAATTGGCCACATATCTTCTGTATAATAGATGGCTATATAAATGTTTTAAATTCATAAGTACTTACAAAATTGTTCCAAAGTGCAGATTCCTAAAATATTTGGAAGGGGAACAAAAATACCTTGTGTTTTCAGTTAAGATATCATCTGCTCAAGAAGATCAGGGATATAAATACCTCTCATATTATTGCATGTATACACATATGCAATAAACATGTATATATTTACACATATACAGTACACATAAGTGCACATGAAGAAAGATCAGAAATTGTATGTTATAAAAATGTTTGTATTCCTAATGTTTTCTGGTTAGAAAGTATGAAAAATGATCACTCACAGCATGCTCTTCTGCTTTATTATAGAGCAATGTCAACACATTACATTTTATTTGAAAACAAGAATATATATATAAACAGAAGAAAGCTATGAGAAGTATATATCAAAATACCTATAGACATTTCATATATACAAATTACAATATTATCTTCTATATGAAGATGGGTGTAATTCTTCAGCAAATTGACCTTATTTGTACACAGAATTGTATATACTTGAAATCATTGAAGGTTCAAAACCACATGGTTATTTTGCATACTTAAACATAGCAGACATCATAAATTGGCTAACAATATTCTGTAGCCAGTACAGTGTAAGTTGTGTTGTTCTAAGCAACCCATTTTGTTGGAAAATAAAATACTGCTCATAAGAACCTCACCATAGACATTATGATAAAGAAGTCAATTTGGATTATAATAATTTATATGGATTCACATTTTACATTTTCACTATATTTTTTAATTTTGATTTCCCCAAGAGATACTTCAAGCATCATGTATAAATTCAATGCTAGTTAAGTTATAATTGCTGCAGAGGAATTCTGAACATTGAAATAGTTATCAAACACTGACCACTGTGGAGAAAGAATAGTTGGACTTCACTCTGCATCTACTTTTGAACATATTAGCTGCAATTCTCAATATTCACTTGTCCTTCCCATTAAAGTTAACGTGATGGATAGAGCTATTTAACCAGCTATTCTGATAGAGAGCCCCATTATCTTTAATGACCTAAAATAAAAGCAGGAACAGCACATCAATGATACAATGCATTAAGACTAATATTCAGTATCTAGATCCCTATTTAGAGCAGTAGTAGAATTTAACTGTTCTAAATCTTTTCTCAAAGTTATAGATCATACCCTCCTATTCCATCCTGCCCTTGGTTTCCTTTGAAACTTTCCCAACGGAGATTTTCCAATATTGGGCATCATAGATCTGAATATCAGAGAAAAGAATAAAGTTAATAAAAGATTCTTGCCTCTAAAACTAGAATCCAATTAGGAGGAGGAATCAGGTAGACTACTCCCATTAGGCACTCCAGGAAACAAAAGAAGTTGTTTATTTTAAAAAGATTCCTTTGCATTGGTTATCTCTAAAGGCCCATATACAATAGGTTGTTTGACAGGAGTAGAGAAAGGATTTCTTATCTTTTCCAAGGTGTTTTCTTAACTACCCAACCTAACTTACAGCCTTGGAATTTCCTATTGGTCTCCATTCAACTAACTAGACAGGATCTGCTTAAGATTTCAAGAACAGCAAAAAATCAGCTAAGTGCTGTTATTTGCTGAGCTACATATTTATAACCGGTAACAAACTTTGAATTCACTGGGATTCATCTCAGCTCAATCCATATATTAATTATTTCTATGAAAAGTTTTGAAAACTTATTCAGAAGTATTCTGGACTCTGTGTGAACAAAAGCTACCTTTGCTATTCACGAACACCCCCCCCCCAGCTATCTCTACTGTGTTTTCCCAAAAATAAGATAGTGTCTTAGTTTCACGGAAACACGGTAGAAATAGCTGGGGTGTATTCATGAATAAGACAGTGTCTTATTTTCTTTTGACCCCCGAAATAAGCACTTGGCCTTATTTTTGGGAAGATCTTATTATTTTTGAGGTGCAGGAGGCAGCGAGCGTAGCCACCTCATGATTGCTGCTGTGTTGCAATATTTTTGGGGAAGACTTATTTTAGCACATGCGCTCAAAAGCCCGATCGGGATTATTATCTGGGGAGATCTTATTTTCAGGGAAACAGGGTAGACATCCATAAACCCAAAAGTAAGATGTTGTGCTGCCTTAAGAAATGGTTCAATACTGCACAACTTTTTAAGAAGCAGAATATGATTCTCAAGCTGAAGTTCTTTTCTAAAAGTGAAGACATTTGCTTGGTATTTTCATGTAAACTTACATAACTTTTTACCAATATGCAACCAAAACTGTGGTTGCATGTTATGGAAGAGCATGCAAAAATGTCGTATTAGTGGGAATAATGTGCAGAATGCACAGTATATGACAATTTGCTTGTCAAGACATGTAGTATTACAAATTATAAAGTTTTTTTGTGAAAGGCGTTCGTAAATTTATAAATGAATTTTCATGTGCACACTTAAAAAAACAAAATTATTAATGTAGTGTGAAATTGGTTGAAAAAATTAAGATTAGAAAAGCTATAAAAAGAAAAGTCTCAAAACCAACATATTTATTCATCCCATATAGTGTCCTCCCTAACTTAATTAAGATAGAATAATATATTCACTAGATTTTTTTGAAAACTTCATTTAGACTCTTCTTTAGTTTCTTTAAACACATTTATCTAGGCAGGAATTATGCGTGCTGTTTTGTTAGAGAATGGTTTCTATAAGCAAACATAAGTGCAATGTAATTTATTTTGGAAATCCTTCTGTAAAATCTTATTTCTCCAAAATGAACTATAAAGAATGTGCAGGTCACATGTTGTTTTCAGACTATTTTCAGCAGTCCTTCAAAAGAAACCACATCAAAATTATGGACAGTTGATCTCACCATTTCATGGCAACATGTTGTGGTAGCAAAAGAAGAAAAATGGAACAAAAAAAAAAGAGAGAGAGAGAGAGACCCAAGCAAAACAGGAAAAAAGGTTGGCAAAAAGAAAGACCATAGTTTGTGTCTTGATTCTGCTCACCATAGAGATTTGTGTTTTAGGATTTGTCTGCAACAGAATGCCAGAATTATCAAGTATATCATAACCAATTGAAAATATAGCATCTATTTTTATGAAATAGAATTTAAAAGTGCTATTTTTGCAATATTTGATAACAAGACCAAAAAAACTAACCAAGTTCTAGGCCGCATAAACAGAAGAATAGAATCAAGATCACATGAAGTGTTGATACCACTTTATAATGCCTTGGTAAGGCCACACTTTGAATACTTCATTCAGTTTTGGTCGCCAGGGTGTAAAAAAGATGTTGAGACTCTAGAAGGAGTGCAGAGAAGAACAACAAAGATGATTAGGGGACTGGAGGCTAAAACACAAGAAGAACAGTTGCAGGAACTGGGTATGTCTAGTTTAATGAAAAGAAGGACTAGGGGACACATGATAGCAGTGTTCCAATATCTCAGGGGTTGCCACAAAGAAGAGGGAGTCAAGTTATTCTCCAAAGCACCTGAGGGTAGGACAAGAAGTAATGGGTGGCAACAAATCAAGGAGAGAAGCAACTTAGAACTGAGGAGAAATTTTCTGACAGTTAGAACAATTAATCAGTGGAACAACTTGCCTTCAGAAGTTGTGAATGCCCCAACACTGGAAGTTTTTAAGAAGATGTTGGATAACCAATTGTCTGAAGTCTTGTAGGGATTCCTGCCTAAGCAGGAGGTTGGACTAAAAGACCTCCAAGGTCCCTTCCAACTCCATTATTCTGCAGTCTATATTCTATATTCTAAGATCATGTGTGGTTTTTTCAGTAGGAGAAACTGTAAAGGATGCATAGAAGGATAACAAGGAAATGTGAGTCATTTGAGAAGAAATAGGAGAAAGTGGATATGTTTGATCTTGAAAAGTCTGAGGGGAAATTTAAAAGCATTTTTCAAATATCTGAATAGCTATCACAAATAGAGTGATGGATATGGTGTAATGGTCTTAATTTGTCAGAAAATAGATTACAGTTCAATGTTGTAAAAAGTAGACAGCTCAACATTGGAATCATTTACTACAGAGAAATATGTACAGCTGTTGAAAGATATTTTTGCAGAGAACATATATCATTTTGTCCCTGCATATGGTTTATTTAAAATTTCTCTGCTAATACACTGCTCTACATTTTAAGTCCTAATATTATATCTGTACTCACAAACCAGTGGATAATTAAAAAAAAAACCTCCCACAAAAAAATACTTTTCCAAATTATGTCTCATTTGTTATATTACAACACATAAAATACTCCTTAGATCTAAGTCAGTGGTTCCCAAACTTGGCAACTTTAAGACTTGTGGACTTCAACTCCCAGAATTCTCCAGCCAGCAGCTGGCTGGAGAATTCTGGGAGTTGAAGTCCACAAGTCTTAAAGTTGCCAAGTTTGGGAACCACTGATCTAAGTCAACATATAGATTACAGTTATAAAAATGTTTTTGGCTGAACATGCTTCCAAACATGAAATACAGGCAATCCTTGCTTAATTCTCCATTTAGAAACTGTTCAAAGTTGCAGCAATACTAGAAAAAGTAAGTTATGATGGGTTCTCTCATTTACAATAGTCACAACTTCTCTGCAGTCACATGTTTATGATTGAGGTGCTTGCTAATTATTGCATGTTTATGATGGTTGCAACATCCTGCCATCACATGGTCACCATTTGCAACTTTCCCAGCAGTTTGTTTCTAACAAACGAAGTCAGTGAGGAAGCCGACATGGTAGGTCTCAAGCCACAGTCTGGTAATATCTTGCTTGATAACCATGGTGATTCACATTGACCATGTGAAAATGGTGGTAAATTGGATGGCGACATGTGATGCTTTCCTTAGTGAAAGCAGCACTTAACAAATTTTCCAGTCCCTATTATAGTTATAAATTGAGGATTACCTATAGATTAACTAAAATATTTTCTGACAAAAGAATGCTGTTATTATAGATACAGGTCCCATGTTTTCTTGACAATTCTTGACATTCAAGATAATTCATTTAAAATTAAAATGATATATCAGAATATGCAACATAACATACAGCTAGATGTTCTGGCTGAAATCTGTGAACACTTTGCAGAGTTCCCAGCCGATTCTTCTAGTTTCTGCCAAAAGTGAATTTCTTTATAAGAAAAAGAACCATTTGGAATCCTTTTATGCACATCTGTTCTTTCTGCTTATCTCTGGAATTAAGTGCTAGAGCACAGAGCTTCCAAATAAATAAGTTGGTTCAATCGTAGATATTGTATTTGTTGTCTTTTCCTTAGATTCAGAAGCACAGTCTTCGCTGAATCTCAATTTAAGCTGTCTTTGTGGATGCTCCGTTCTGTATTGTGGTTATTCAGTTCATTAGTTTTCCACTGAATGCTGGTCCCATTCATGGGGACAGAGGATATCTGACTTCCTGTCCGATGACAAATACAGCAGAGGCATGACTGGCAAGAAAAAAAAATCCAAACATTACTGGTTTGTTGGTTAATTTATTTTAGGGAAGGCTCATTTTCAGTGGAGAGCAGAATTCTCAAGACTGTAGAAAGCAGAATTAGGCCTGAGTGAAATTAAATTTATAACGTGTAGTAACATGAAATTCAAGGTAAATTTACCCTTAAAGGTACATAATTCCTTGTTAAACTGTGGCTAACATGTAATTAAATGTGAACAGATAAAAATGTACTTCTTTTGTTTCACTGTTCCATACTTTCAGCTTCATTAGACTACAAAACTATGAAACTTAGGAAAGGGATTTGAAATTGATGTAAAAATATAGCTTCTTTTAGCAGATGCTGTTAGAAACAAATACGATTTGTATTTCATCTAGTTCTCTCTTCTTTTAAAAGCAAGAAGTCAAGTGGACTAAATTATGAAAGACGTGGCAACCGAAGTGGCTTGAGTTATGATGAATTTGGTACAATATAACAATTCTTGAGCTTCTATCATTTTGGCACTTTCTAACTAGCTCTGAAGTGATTCCTCTTCCCCCTTTGGGAAACCTTCCACTGATAATTGTCATTTCCATACGGATAATGTGAAGAAATTGCAGGCGCACTGAACCGGCAGTAATGCCGACAGCAACCAACTCCTGCATCACACCATAATTATAGTCTCCTCAATGCTTTCCAAATGTGTTAGAAAAAAGTTACAAAATTGTCAGCCACTATGACAAAATCCTGGAAATTCTCAACATTCAGCATAATTGAAAGTTGTAAAAATTGGAAAAGGCTACTGTAAAATATCCAGACAATGTTCCCAAATGTTTGTTTAGGCAAAAAGTGGGTTTTATAATTTAAAATCAATATTTCAAAACATGGGATCAACTTGGAAAAGGATGAATAGAATTCTTTCATATTTACTTTTCACATTTTATTCTTCAATATTACTTTTGATAGGTTTAATGTAATGTTTTTGGCCCTTACCTGGAAGCAGTTTTTGAACTTCTTGCTCACAAAGTAGAGTGCTATAGGATTTATGCAGGAATTGATGGTTGCTAGATTAATGCTGATATAATCGAAAGCCAAAAAAAAGCTAGGATCAAAAACAGAAAATATTACAATCTTCATAATGGTTGACAAGTAATCCTCAGCCATTATAAATTTGTGAAACTATGCAACACTGTCTCAGGTAAACATGAGTTAATAGAATTGCAGGTGCTTAGGAGAATTAGGACTATGAAGCACTGTTCAAATAATAAAGCATTTATAAATGAATAGAAGCATAATAGCAAACCTTGGGTTATAAAAAGTAAAATTCTGGAGCCATTTAAAATATAATGTGAGTTTTACAGGAAAAATGATGGCATAACAATAAGCCCTCAAATTACAATTGCACCCAGAATTATGATCTAAAGTCATGGTGGTTGTTAAGCAGGTTATGTCAGGCTCACCCAATTTTACAATCTTTTTTTCAATGGTTGTTAGGAATATAATCTAATGGTTGGGTTGGCAATATATAAACCATATAGCAATGCCTGTTTCTTTAAATCATGCTGTAAAATGTGATTGGTTGCTATTTTCCTCAATTGAAAGCCAGAATGATTGTTAGCTCTGCTCTGTTTGTTAGATGCTGGGCTGATCTGATCTGTGTTTTGGAAGCTGTCTGGTTAGAAAGTGCCATGAGCTATTGTAAGTTTTGCAACTGTTAGCAAACTTGAAGTACTGAACTGAATATATGAAACTGGACTATGTTATTTGGATTATCCCTTAACTGAAAGACATTGATGACTGAC